CTCCGGCGATCCTTCTGCCTCAGCCTTCCCAGTAGCTGGAACTACAGGCGCGCACTACCATGCCCGGCTTATTTTAATTTATTGTAGAGATGAGATCTCACCAAGTTGCCCAGGTGAGTCTCGAACCCATGGGCTCAGGCAGTCCACTCACCTCAGCCTCCCAAAGGCATGGGATTACAGGCTGAGCCACCGAGCCCAGCTGTGTCTAAGTCTTAAATTATGTATCAGGTAATGTTGCGATGACAACTCCAAAATCTTAGTGGAATGCAACAAGCAACAGTTTATGTTTTGTTCATAATAGATGTCTGTCACTGCTTAGGTTAGACCTATCACCCTTGCAGCCCACACTGGTGGAACACAGCTACTGCATATATGGCTTTTTATTGAGAATAACATACTAAAGTCATATTTATTTTATAGTACGTATCCCCACATCTGTAATATATTGGGTCCATAACTAGCACGTGGATTCAGAAACAGAATCTCACCCTGTGCTACTTATCACCCTTTGTGCCATTTCCTGGTCACTACGTCCTCCTGAGGTTAAACACTACCCGGATTTGTATTCCCTGGAGTTGTTTTGTCTGGTTTTGAAGTCTCTGTAGGTGGAATCCCACTGTCGCTATGCCTTTTTCTCTAGCCTCTCGCTACGCATGTTTCGTGAGGCTCATCCAGGATGTATGTGGGCAGAGCTCCTTCACTCCCATCACTGATTCATAGTCTATGGTAAAAATGTGCTGTGTGTGTGTGTGTGTGTGTGTGTGTGTGTGTGTGTGTGTGTGTGTGAGAGAGAGAGAGAGGGAGAGAGGGATCGAGTCAGTCAGAGTCTCACTCCATTGGCCAGGCTGGAGTGCAATAACACGATCACAGCTAATGCAGCCTCAACCTGCTGGGCTCAGGCATTCCTTCCATCTCAAGGTATGGTGTGCACCACCATGCCCAGCTAACTTTTTTGATTATTTGTAGAGACGAGGTCTTGCCACGTTATCCAGGCTGGCCTCAAACCCCTGTGCTCAGGCAAACCTCTCACCTCTGCCTTCCAAAGTGCTGGGATTACCGGCGTGAGCCACCGCACCTAGCCTCCCAGTGTTTTATTCTGCTGTTTCTGAGCATTTGGGTTGCTTTTAGTTTGGGGCTATTATAAATGATTCTATAAACATTTTTGATAACTTTCTTGCTGAAGATGTGTATGAATTTTGTTGTATATATGCCTAGAAGTGGAATTACTAAGTCATAAGATATGTGATGTTCATTTTTTGTAAATACTGTCAATTTTGTAAAATGTTTGTGCTGCTGCAATAACTGTGAAGGCTGCGAGGCAGAAGTTAGTGCTGCCGGGTTTTGTACCATCAGTGAAATGGTCTGGCCTGGAAATCACATTTCTCACCTGCTCACTTAACCACAAAGGAGCCAGGTTATGTAACCCTACCTTCCCCTGGAATGTGGAGAGCCAGGACTATTGTGTTCACTTTTTTTTTTTTTTTGAGTTGAAGTCTCACTTGTCGCCCAGACTGGAGTGCTGTGGCACGTTCTCAGCCACCGCAGCCTCGACCTGCTGGGCTCCGGCGATCCTTCCGCCTCAGCCTTCCAAGTAGCTAGAACTACAGGCGCGCGCTACCACGCCCGGCTAATTTTTTGATTTATTGTAGAGATGAGGTCTCACCAAGTTGCCCAGGCGGGTCTCGAACCCGCGGGCTCAGGTAATCCACTCACCTCAGCCTCCCAAGGTGCGGGATTACAGGCTGAGCCACCAAGCCCGGTTTTTTTCTTTTTTTTTGAGTAGGATTCTCACTCTGTCATCCAGGCTGGAGTGCAGTGACATGCTCATGGCCACTGCAGCTTTGACCTGCTGGGCATAGGTGGTCCTTCTGCTTCAGCCTTCCAAGTAACTGGAAACACAGGCATGCACCACCATGCCCGGCTACTTTTATTTTTTTATTTGTTATAGAGACAAGGTCTTGCCAAGTTGCCCCAGCTGGTCTTCAACCCCTGGCTCAGGCAATCCTCTTGCCTCTGCTTCCCAAAGTGCTGGGATTACAGCATGAGCCACCATGCCCAGCTGTGTTCCACTTTTTAATCCAAGTAGAATTAATTTTTTGGTGAGCAGTGTGACAGGAGGAGATGATTTTAGGCAGATCATTTTCTTTGGGTTTTTTTAAAACACTATTCCACGTATTTAAGAATTCTTATTGACGTTCATTTTAAAGCCACTTATGTTGAATTCTTTCAATGTCCCTTTGATGCAAACGATTTAGAAATGGTTTTTAAACATTTCCATGTTGATAGACATTGTTGTATTGTCTTTTCATCAGTAACTTTCTAATGTATTGTATTGTGGTCATCAAACATGGTCTGTGTATGGTTTCTGCTTTTCAGAATTTGTTGTGATTTCCATGTGACCTAAAGCATCATGATGTTGATGAATGTCCTCTCTGAAAAGCTGATGTGTTCTCACTTGAGAACAGTTCTCTGTTTCTACTAGATCATACTTCTGTTTTTTTTTTTGAGTTGGAGTCTGTCTCACTCTGTCGCCCAGACTGGAGTGCAGTGGCTGCTCCCGGCCACCGCAGCCTTACCTGCTGGGCTCCGGCGATCCTTCTGCCTCAGCCTTCCGAGTAGCTGGAACTACAGGCGCCCGCTACCATACCTGGCTAATTTTTTCATTTATTGTAGAGATGAGGTCTCACCAAATTGCCCAGGCGGGTCTCGAACCCGCGGGCTCAGGCAATCCACTCACCTCAGCCTCCCAAAGCGCGGGATTATAGGCTGAGCCACCGAGCCCGGCTTAGATCATACTTCTAACTCCTCATTTTATTTTATATTTGAGGTGTTTTAGTCTTCTGTGATGATGGCTTTATTAACTTGTCCTGTTTTCACCAGCTTTTGCTTTATAGATTTAAAATCTGTTGTCATACGATGTAAGATGGCAATAGTCTTCTGGTAGATGATGACTTTAATCACGGAACATCTTGGCTTCCTGTTTTCTTTTGCTGTGAATTGTTTCCTCTGGTGTTAACATTATTCTATGTTTTCTTTTTCCTAACAACTGTAGAGCATACCTTTGTCTATACTTGCGCTTAAAATTTTTCCTGTATGGCTTTGTTTAGTTGTCTTTATTAAACATGTAATATATAGCTTGAATTTTGTGAATGCAATTTGAAAATCTTTTAATGGGTGAATTTAAATTGGTGTGCATGTGTGCGTGTACACACACACACACACACACACACACACACACCCCCTATATCACTCTGTTACCCAGGCTGGAGGGCAGTGGCCCAATCATAGTTCACTGCAATCTTTAACTCCTGGGCTCAGGTGATCCTTCTACCTCAGCTTCCCGAGTAGTTGGGAATTCACTACCACCATACCTGTCTGATTTTTTAATCTTTTTTGTAGAGATGAGGTCTCACTGTGTTTCCCAGGGTGGCCTCAAACTCCTGGACTCGAGCAATCCTCCTACCTTGACCTCCTAAAGTGCTGGGATTACAAGCATGAGCTACCGCGCCTGACCGCATTTTTTTATTACTGATGTTTGGACTTATTCTACCATCTTACTCGGTTTTCTGTTGCCATGGCGTTTCCTCTTGCTGTTGGATGGCTTTGCCACATTTTCTTAGTTTCATTTTCTCTCTTGCTCTAATGATTTGGGAGGTATGAAACTTAATAGTTCTTAGTATTTCTCTTTTTAAAAAATTCATTTATGAAGTATTTCAGAAATATAGGTGAGTATGGAGATTTAACATAATGTTGGGAAGGGGGTGGCTAGACCTTCTCTAGATGAAATCAGTCTTTTTCTCCTCCTTAGTTCTAGACCGACTGATTGCAGTACACGAGGAGTTAAACAGATGATTAAACTTGTCAGGATGGTTTTGTTTCGCCTTTTTTTTTTTGAGTCAGGGTCTCACTCTGTCACCCAGGCTAGAGTGCAGTGGCATATTCACAGCACACTGCAGCCTCAAGCTCCTGGGCTCAAGCGATTCTCCTACCTCAGCCTCCCCAGTAGCTGGGAACTACAGGTGTGGTGGTGCCCAGCTAGTTTTCTTTCTTTCTTTTGCAGAGAACAGGGTCTTGCTATGTTGTTTAGGCTATGTGCTTGGTTTCTCGCTATGTGCTTGGTTTCTCTCTATGTGCATTCAGATCTGAAGGCGACTAGAATTCCTTAGGCAAGCAGTCAAGGGCAAATGGGATAGCCACGAGGACAAATTCCAGAGTATCTGCAAACTAGTGGAGTCTCACCATCCTGGATCCTTGGGTGATTGTGTAGAATAGAGCTTCTTCCACCCTCTTATCTGTGATGGGCATGTAGCACCTGCAAGAAATCAGCCT